ATAGTGGTACAATAGAAAAAATATTGAAGCAACACTATAAGATGCAGAGGTGGACTATGCAGATAAATGCAGATGAGATATCTTTCCTTTTTATAATTTCGAAAACTATGAATGTTAATATACATTTGAATATATATATAGACTTTTTTGAAAATTTATGACTTACCAATCGTGAATTTATCTTCATAGGTGAAAAAAATTCTTTGAATTAAATTTACAGGTAAACTACAGCAAATATTATTACTAAATAAGAATATTCTTAAGAACACTACATGAGCTGATAAGCTTCAGAGAAAATATACTGAAACGTGAAATTTTATGATTTACTGTTCATGAATATAGCTTCTTAAAAGAAAGAAATATCTTTGAGGTAAATAGTAGAAATTTTCATATAATTTTCTTAATAAAGAATACTGATAGTATATAATAATAAAAAGAATAATACTAATTTTTGATTATTATCTTCATGATTAAATAGTTAGCTGCATATTATCCTCAGTATAAGGTAAATTATAATGCAATCATTTATTTACTAATATAATTATAGTGATATATATTAATATTTATACATACAGTATCTGTTATTGTTTAAATTCGAATATAGAATAAATATCAGGAACAATGTTGATTAATCGCATGCAAATAGCCTTAATGAAAAGTAAATTATTTAATATAATCTTATTTATCTAATATTATTATAGTGATACGTATATATATCTGTTATTGTTCAGATTTTAATTTGAATATGTACAGAATAAAAATCAGGAACAATATTATTCGATCGCAATTTTAATTTAAGTACAGGAGAACTATTAGGAACAAACATGTGATTAAACTTTTGCTTGCATATCATCCTTAACGAAAGGTAAATTCTTTTATTTAACTAATAAAATTTTCAATTTTGAGTACAGAAGAACTATTAGGAACAATTATATGTTAACATTTACTTGCATATCATCCTCAACGAAAGGTAAATTATTTAATATAATCTTTATTTAACTAATAAAAGTTTAATTTCAAATACAGAGAAACAATATTAATCAATCACATACATATCGTCTTCAATGAAAGGTAAATTATTTAATATAATCGTTTGTTTAACTAATAAAATTTTAATTTCAAATACAGAATAAATATCAGGAACAATATTAATCAATCACATGCATATCATCCTCAATGAAAGGTAAATTATTTAATATAATCTTTTGTTTAACTAATAAAATTTTAATTCAAGTACAGAAGAACTATAAGAAACAATCATATAATTAAACTTTTGCTTGCATATTATCTTCAATGAAAGGTAAAGTATTTAATATAATTTTTTGTTTAACTAATAAAATTTTAATTCGAGTACAGAAAAACTATTAGGAACAATATTGATCGATCGCATGTATATCATCCTTAATGAAAGATAAAGTATTTAATATAATCATTATTTAACTAATAAAATTTTAATTTGAGTACAGAAGAACTATTAGGAACTATATTTATCGATCGCATGTATATCGTCTTCAACAAAAGATAAAGTATTTAATATAATCATTATTTAACTAATAAAATTTTAATTTCAATACAAAAGAACTATAAGAAACAATCATGTGATTAAACTTTTGCTTATATATTGTTCTTAATGAAAGGTAAATTATTTAATATAATCTTTTGTTTAATTAATAATAAATAGAGAAATAATAAAATCGTATTAATTATGAAAATAAATTTTAATTAGGAGTCTATAAGACATATATAACTATAATTTTCGAAATTATAAAAAGGAAAGATATCTTCTATCTAAATTTTCATCAAGTCATTTTTCAAACTTCTTCAATTCGTTAATATCTTCCTTATAAAATTCTCTATTATCTTTAAATTCATTAAAATCTTCTCTCAATTCATTTAAATTTATTAAAAAAATAGGTAAAGAAAGAATTTCTCGATTGCAGAAAGCAGCAAAAGCGCTAAAAAAAGAGCAAAAAAGAAATAAAAGTCTAAAAAGTCTAAAAAATATAAGATATAATCAGCTTATATACTAATATTTTTATTAATATTCATTTTTTTTATAGTAACTCCTAAGCTAGTCTTAAAAGCAATTAGTAAAGTGATGGCTGCTATATTTAGTAAGGGTAAGGGTAAGAAGAAGGATGCAACCTCATCAAGTTCTAAAAGTGATAGTGATGATGATAGTGAGACAGAAACATCAAGTAGTTCTAGTAGTTCTAGTAGTTCTAGTAAATTACGCAGTTCAAAAGATAAGAGGCAAATGCTAAAAGTATTAATAACAAGCCAATCGGCTTATCTCTGAGTAAGCTTACCCTTAATTTTTTGTGTTTTTTTCCTATCACTTTTATGTTTTAAGTTTACAAGAATAAGATATTAGATTTACTTTTTTTTTATTTTATTTAATTTTATTAATAGGACGAAATAAAAATTTTGATAGAAGGGGGAAAACTATCAGATAAAAAACTGGATCCAGATAAGAATTGGATATCCCAAGTAGCCAGTATAAGAAAAGATCTAATTCCATCGATACAGAAGAAATTGCTAGAATATCGGTATCATAGTGGTACAATAGAAAAAATATTGAAGCAACACTATAAGATGCAGAGGTGGACTATGCAGATAAATGCAGATGAGGTATTAAAGAAATACTTTATGTCAGAATAGCACGTAATAGTAAAATAAATGAGGTAAGACAATAATAATAATAATAATAATAATAATAATAATAATACTGTAATAATAATAATAATAATAATAATAATAATAATAAT